ATGTAAGATCCATGTACAAAATTGACAAGAGGGGGGGGGCCGGGGGGGGAGTCCTGTCTGGGACCTGACGGCCCAAAAAAAGGTATAAATTCTAGCTTATATCAAATAAAGAAATCAAATACGTTGACGTATGTGTTTCACGAAGCCAATTCCCAAGTAAATACTGAAAAGTGATTACTGATTTGTAGATACCTTAATATATTTGTAGATACCTTAATACCTTCATATCGATGGTATGGTTTGGTTGTAATTCCTTATTGGTGTTTTGTTACCTGCTTGATGTCTATTCACTATTGGTCGCCTAATAGATATTTGTCCGAAATTTTTATATAAAATCTACGAAAATTTTCAAAAAACCGGTTTTAAGAAAGCTACTTGAAAGTTGAAAATTTGAATATAGTTCAAAATTTTAGCGCTAGAGACCGCCTTACATAAAAACCATAATAATAATTTCTTGCAGTTTATGTCTGTCTATTTAAGGTTGCAGTTTCACTACATTTATTTACCATTTTCCTAACTTTGAAATCTATTTAAGAGCATAGTTTTCTAAACCGTAAAATATAAATTACTTAAATCATTACTTCTTGCACTCAAACAAGTGACCATGGTACGTGTACATTATTCTCGTCTGCTTCGATATGAAATTGATCAACTTTCATACTGCAGATGACTAGTATATTAAAGGTATGGAGCGAAGGAAATACATAATTCCATGCACAATTAATACCGATTTTTAGTGATATTACAGTAATGCGCATCCTAAGTGGGCTTCCTAATTTTCTACAAATCTTTTCTTGGGAAGATCTTCTATTTATAATCGTCAATCCATTTATAGGTCCCCTATTATTTAAGCACGGTAGTCGATCTATAGTACCCAGCTATCCAAATTGCGTAAGCAACGTAAACGCATATTATTATGGCTCCAATTACGCAATTAAAACGCAAATTTGCGTAAGTCTAGATTTCAAATTAGTGTAAATATCTAATTTTGCTAAAGAAAATATTTTATAAACCAGCTTTAAGTATAAATATCATGAATTTGTGAAGATGTGTATCATCTTATTTCAGGTATACAAATTGCGTAAAAATACGCTCAAAACTTGCGGTAATTGCCTAAAACTCGACTCTTAATTATTTGTGAAATATCTATATAATTTCCGATATTGCATTTTCCAAAAAAAAAATTGAATAAAAACTTTTTAAAAGAATTTAAGTTGTTTTTGTTAGCATTAAAATTGCGTAAAAATTCCATTCTTTTTATACGCATATATTTTGAGTGTTTTAAATATTGAAGAATTGAGTGGCCCAGGTGTGTGTGCACTGTGCAGCGTGCAGCAATATATAATAATGTTATATTAGAAAGCCGTGTGATTTGTAGATATAAGAGTGGGAAGGGGGGGGCTACATAGCACACTGGTTTTTAGTATCAAATTTCACCGCAAGGTGTCTCTTTTTGTTTCTCGTAAAATTTAAAAAAAGTAAAAAGGTTCAGATCAAATTTTTACTAAAAGTATATCATTTAAAATTCAAGACTTGGGTTTTTAATTATTTTTAATTTTGTTGAATAAAGATACATAAAGATGCGAAAAGTAACGTTAAAATTGCGCTCTTTTTGCACAATATGCCTAGCTGGAAAGATACTTGAAACCCTCAACTTCTCAAGTGGAATTTTAAACAGCAGGAAAGACATTTGAATCCCTTTAGTAGATATATAAATCCCCTGGAAAGATTTCTGGATCCCTCCGGGGGAATAATATACCCCACGGAAAGATATCTGAGTCCCTCCGGCGGTAAGTAAATCACCTTGCGTGAAGTTTTGATTCTTTAAAAGCATTTTTTCAAACCCCTCCAGTGAAAATGAATTCCCTCCGGTGGTCTCCAGTGGAGTCAAAATCTTACCACGAACTCCCGTGACTCTAAACATTTGCATAATATTTTTTTTTAATTCAAAGTTTGGGGAGAAAATTTATTTTATTCATTTTGCGAAAGTTGTGAAAAGTCCCAAGTAACAAAATTTCTGGAATTTTCCTCAAGAAATTCTCAGGACTTCATCACCGAATTTTCAAGTTCCATTTTTCTCCAATAGGTGTCTCTGAGGTTCTCTTCTATTATATTTATGCACTGCCCTAACTAAATCTTTTTTTCTTTGCATCCTTATTGATAGAAAATAATAATCTACTTTAGAACCATCTTTTAAAAAAATATTTTGAAATTTTTTTTTCATTTTTTTTATTTTTTCTTGGCAATTCAGTTGTCTGCACAAAATACATGACAACTTCAGTAAGATCAAAAACGACTATAACATTCTGATTTAAGAAGATGGTTATACTTCTAAAAAGTTTGAGGGGCAATATAGTTGTTAAGTTATTCACTACTATTGGGCCAAAGTCCTGGTTAGTGAAATTACTCAGGAATATGCTGAGAATATTTCAAGATATTCCTGTGGAACCCTGAAGAAAATCTTGGGAATAGTTCCCAGGAAATTCTCAGGAATTGGTTCTGAAGAACTTTTTGCTGGAAATTCCCAAGAATTTCCACAAATTTTGTCGACATTTTCTCCAGTTTTTCTGAGCAGAATTGGTTACAAGAAATTCAATTTCCTCGGAATGGGTTACAAGAAATTCCTCGGACAGGGTTCCTCGGAATTGGTACTGAGAAATTCCTCATGGAAAAGCTGTCGACATTTTCACCGGATTTTCCTATGAAAGATTCCCCGGAATTTACGCGGATTCCCAGGAAAGTTTAGCTGGGAATTTCTGCGGCTTTTCCGCAAAATTGTTACTTGGGGTAGCTCTACCACGAGTATAACACAGGGGCGGTAAATTAATTACGTGAATTATCAACCAGTTCTCCATTATGCTAATCTCGTTGAAAACCTGTGTTTTGTTTGTTGGGATGGTCATCATTTTAGTAGGTTGGATTTACACAATTGTACGTGATTCGGATGGTCATCATTTTTAGGTCGGATGTACACTTTTGTAGGCTGGATTTACACTTCTTGTATAGGTCGGATTAATAGTTTTGATAGGTCAAAACCGAAAAACCTATAAATACGTGTGACATTCGTATATATACGTATTTTTAGGTTTGGAATATGTATTCATACATATTTTCCATATGTATGACATACTGTAGCAGGAAAATGATGTTTTGATCTTTCCTGCAACTGTAAATAGCATTTTGTTTGTCAGTTATTTTTACCCTTCGTTCGCACTCAACCCCATTTTGCCTCCCCCCCACCTTTTACTGATATTTAACGGGTTTTCTTGTTTATGTTTGGTTTCTATATTTAACCCAAGCCACGCGGAGAAATCCGTTATCTCCAAACCCGGGAGCTGGGGAGCTGGCCGGCCAGCTCACAGGGCGTGGGGTAGAATGCGAAATAAGGGTGGAGCGAAATAGAGGGAAAAAAGACAGTTGTGATTCAGCTCCCTTGAATTAAGGTTCCCTTGAAGAATTCCCCTATTTGATGAAACTAATTTGATTAACAATATTTAATTTGTATAAGTGAGACGATGAAAATGCAAATGTAAAATGTCTCCTGTTTGATAGAACTGATTAGATTCATAACATTTAGTTTGTATTAGTATCGTTCGATTTAAAGTTTGTATCTTTTGTATATAAATATATTGTAAGAAAAACCGACTCGTCGAATATTTGAGAAACTCAGTGCATTGCTTTATTGATTTTTATTCATATACTATAATACATATTTTTGTAAGCATTTCCTTAGTGAAAATACGTATTTTATATCAAAAATATGTAAATGACAATTACGTAAAAATGCGTACATAAAAGACCTAAATCAGGAATTTTTAGGTTTTTCCTATACATTGATTTCGGTTTGAAAAAATTCTAACATTTCTTAATTTTTGGAATTTATAGGTTTTACCTATTCGTAAAATACGTATTTTTAAGGCATATTCAAGTTCTAAAATCAAAATGTTAGAAGATGACTATAATTTTGCATGCACATTGTTCCTTCATATCTATTCAACTAATTCCACAAATTTCTTAAATCCATTCATAGATATCAAATATTTTCAATCCATTCCAATATTCTTCTTCACAAATTCACACCATCATCATTCCTTCATCTGTATCCAATATCCATCTACATCAACATTCATATAAGAATTTTGTCTGTCTTTTCAACATATTACGTATTCAATATCTGTTATACTTCATACACTTACCATTATACCTGTTCTAAAACTGTTAAAGTAGAACTTCTATATTGATCAAAAAATCGAGAATTTACTGACGTTAATTCTAATCAAAACACCAATTTACTCCAAAATGATAGAAATTTTGAAACATTGTATTTACCAAAATGTTTGCATTAAATTTTTTACAATTTTCTTGAAAAGTCATAAAATATTTTTAAATTCTAACTTAAAAATGCATTTTTGTGCAGTTGAGGTTTTGTTAATATATTGACTCAAACTATTCAACTCTTAAGAAAACAATTTTTTAAGTAAAGAAAAATCCGAAAAATACGTAAGAATTTTTTAAGTAAAAACCTAAAATATTAGTAAAATTACTTGGTATAAAATTTACGAAAATATACCCATAGTTTTAGGTTTGCATCAAACTTTTAAACTTTAAAAAATACAATTTTTTAAGTAAATAAAAAACGAGGGAAAATCATGCTTGGAGTCAAATCTTGTTTATATATTATAGTTTGGACTAGGCCTAGAGCAAATATCGGACATCCTGGTTCCTCTACAGAGTAAATATATCTTTTGTACTTTATATCTTATGTTACTTATATCATATGTAATTATATGCTTTGTCATTATATATTTTATAATTAAATATCTTTTGTAATTATATCTATATATATATTATATTACTGAGCCCTAAAGTCTCATCCTTTGTGGGTAACCCTGTAACAATCTGTCATAAATCTTAAATTATATTTATTTGTAACTTTTAATTTTTAATCAGAAATATTCCTGATTTAAAATGTTTGTAAAACTTTTTAGTTTATTTATGGTTTTGGTTTTAATTGAATTATTTCCATTTGTAAATCTCTATGGCATAAATCTACAATGGTATAGAAAAAATTTCTTAAAAAAATAAAGTAAAATTTGTTTTTGTTATTTTTGAAAAAAAATCAAATTTGCCAGGGATTTTGGAGAGAAGGATTTTAACTTGTACATTCCCTCTTCTAAAATCATTGGAACAAGCACAATCTTAGGTTGAAGGTTATACAATAAACAGATATATGGTAAGGGCCATACATAGGGGCTATAGGGGGCTGAAAGTTAGACCCCCCCCCCCTCGAATGACCTATATCAGGTTGCTCGAAACCTCTGAGCCAAATAAATTATAATTTTACGAGAGTAAAATTCCCGGATTTTTGGTCGTCTTTCGTCTGAGTTTCTCCTCTTTTCAGCTTGCTTTCCCATCTCATTTTTACTTTCTTTATTTTCTTTATTTTTTCTCAATTTTGATTTCTAATAAAACCATTTCCAGTTTACACATTTCAAAATCTTAAACATTCTCCGATCCCTGTCACAATTCGGGGGGGGGGGGTCTCCACCCCCCACCCCTGTGGTTTCTTCTGATAATAATTTCTTGCAGTTTATGTCTGTCTATTTAAGGTGGCAGTTTCACTACATTTATTTACAATTTTCCTAACTTTGAAATATATTTAAGAGCATAGTTTTCTAAACCGTAAAATATAAATTACTTAAATCATTACTTCTTGCACACAAAAAAGTGACCATGGTTTCACTTTTTTCAATTTAATAGTTGTGAACAAATTTAGCTAAACAAATTTTTTTTTGATGTATTAGGTAGGGTTGAGGACGGTAAAACAGCGGTTCGGTGTTTCAAAAAAATCAGAAATTGTTAATAACTATTTTATTAATTAAGCTGCAGGGCTAAGATTTATATATTTTAAAAGCCTTTGAAAATTAAATACAAGAAAATGTGTCATATGCTTATATTTGTTAAAATTAAAAATAACTACTTTTGAAATTTTTTCTACATACTTTTTGAACTTGTTTAAAAACCCTCCCTTGCACCCTAACCATTCAAGTTAAAGGTCTGATTTTTGTGACTTTGTCTGAAATCTTTTAAAAAAATTTTAAAATATTAATTTTTTTAATTAAAAAAAAATTTTCAATTGTTTTGTGATGCAGTTTTTCTGTTGATCGCTTGCCGACCTCCGGTTATAGCCGCCTGACCTCCATTCACCCTTTCTTGGAGTTCAACAATATCCCTCCTCAGGTCAGCAATAATCAGCATCAAGAAATCAAATGATGCCTCCTCCCCCTTCTGTCCTGGTATCCCTGACTCCCCCCTGGGCCCCTGAGGACCCTTCTCTCCAGGGGCTCCGGGGGCCCCGACAGGACCTCGGGTACACTTACAAAAATTCTCCTTTAACAGGGTTTATCAAAGAATTTCACTTTTTTAAACCATTTTTTTCGTTTCTTAAAATATAAGAAATATAAGGCCAGTCATCAAAAAAGTTATCATTTATTATTACACTATTTTTTAGAATTAAAAGGACTGTCGTTGCAATTTCAAGTGTCCCTCCATTTAAAGAGGGTCATAAGGACCCTTTAATCAATACCGTGGAAGATATCTTCGTTTTTCAAACTTAATTGAAAAGTGTTTGATGCTGACAATTAACTCCATTATTTTTTGTAAAGAAACCACAATAGGAAATACTCAGTTTGTTCAAAAAGAGAAATATAGAATAGCTCATTTATTCCTGATGAGACAAATCATCTAAGGGTGAATCGAATTTGTCATTCAATGAATAAAGAGTCACTTTTAATTAAGTTAAACGTTCTTTTAACCTGCAAAAACTAAAAGAAAAATGCTTTTTAATTCTGAAATTATGTGATAATCTGTGAAACCTTATGTTTTATCTAATTTATTCGATCAATCAGTCATAGTTTGAAATAAAAAAGGTTTGATTCATCAGATTGCAAAGATAAATTATTAAAAATGTTGAAGTTTGCATTGTGTTTTTAGTTTCTTTAAGCTAAATTTAAAAGATCTTGTTTTGGATAAACCTTTCCTTGTCTCCCATTCCTACTAGTTGATAACTGTCCATCTCACTGTCTACTTCAGTATCTATACCACCAGTTCCTAGTCAAGCAAATAAACTTATTTATAAAGGACAAAAGACAAACTATAACAATGAACAATTTACAACAATGACAAATGGACAATGAAAAAATAATAGACAACAGGCAATGAATAATGAATAATAAATTATGCAATCTCCATTACACAATGCTTTAATGGAAAAAAACAATATAAAAATATAAATATACAATGAACAATGAACTTTGAACTATTTTTTTCCTATAAGCCCTGGTGGTCCCTCTGGTCCAGTAGGTCCAGCACAACCTTCACTGCAAAACTATACCTATGCTCCTGGAAACCCTCAATAGGTCCTGCAGGACCAGGCGGACCCTCTGGTCCAATAGGTCCAGGAGAACCTTCTGCAAAACTATACCTATGCTCCTGGAAACCCTCTATAGGTCCTGCAGGACCAGGCGGACCCTCTGGTCCAATAGGTCCAGGAGAACCTTCTGCAAACCTATACCTGGTGCTCCTGGGAACCCTCTGGGTCATATAGGACCAGGACGTCCCTCTGGTCCAGCAGGACCAGGAGAACCTCCTGCAAAACTATACCTGGTGCTCCTGGGAACCCTCTAGGTCCTGAAGGACCAGGAGGTCCCTCTGGTCCAGCAGGTCCTGGCGAACCTCCTGCAAAACTATAAAGTTTAATCGCTGTGTTTAAAGCTCTAAATTTCTCCTCTAGTCCGTCAACTGTCTGCTGCAATCTGAAAAACAACATTTATCAAGTTAAAAAAAAAATTCTCACATACTTTTGGCAGTGCCAACCAAGAAAAATTGCTTAAAAATACAAAGGGTCTCGTTGTAAATTGGACATGCCACAAAATTAAGGTTTGATTGGTTTTTCCGGTTTGACGTTTATTGGATACAAACAAAGAAACAGCAAGACAAGCAAAGTATATATATTTGAACTTCCTTGTATCTAATAAAAGATAAAAGACTAGTAAAAGATAAAAGCCTCGTAAAAGATAAAAGACTAGGAAAAGATAAAAGACTAGGAAAAAATAAAAGACTTGTAAAAGATAAAAGTCTAGTATAAGATAAAATTCTACTAAAAGATAAAAAGTCTAGTAAAAGATAAAAGTCTAGTAAAAGATAAAAGTATAGTAAAAGATAAAAGTCTAGTAAAAGATAAAAGTATAGTAAAAGATAAAAGCCTGGTAAAAGATAAAAGACTAGGAAAAGATAAAAGTCTAGTAAAAGATAAAAGTCTAGTAAATAATAAAAGTCTACTAAAAGATAACAAACCTAGTAAAAGATAAAAGTCTAGTAAAAGATAAAAGTCTACTAAAAGATAACAAACCTAGTAAAAGATAAAAGTCTAGTAAAAGATAAAAGTCTACTAAAAAGTCTAATAAAAGATAAAAAGCCTAGTAAAAGATAAAAGTCTAGTATAAGATAAAAGTCTAGTATAAGATAAAAGTCTAGTAAAAGATAAAAAGCCTGTTAAAAGAAAAAAGCCTAGTAAAAGATAAAAGCCTATAAGTATAAGATAAAAGTCTAGTATAAGAGAAAAGTCTGCTAAAAGATAAAAGCCTAATAAAAAACCTGTTTACAGCTGGCCGTGGTCGGAAAGCATGACTTGTTTCCCCAATACTTCCAGCTGTGGAATCTAAACGATAAAGACTTCTTATTTTAATATTTTTTTTTTTTTGCAGGTCGTATAATCTTAATTAACACTTTTATAATTTGGGAGGAGGGGGGGGTGTTTTCCAACCCCCCCCCCCTTGTGTTTTTGTCAATATTTTAAAAACGGCTTACACTTGAATGCTCAATCTTTTAACTTAATTAAAAATAGTCAATAGAAAGAAAACTGCACCTCAAAAAGATTTTTTTCTGAAATGCCATAGAAAAATCGATGTAATAACATGTGTCACATGTTAATATTTGTTAAAAATGAAAATATCTATTTTTCAACATTTTCCCAGTGTACTTTTTTAAATGCACCTTGGATTTCAGAAGCAATATTGGTTAACTAAAGTTAGCAGAGAGATTTTTAAATATTCGACATTGTTTTATGCACACCAAATAGAAGAATCGGACGACAAAAACTTACCTTTATGACTCCTTCTAAAATCAAAAACTGTATGCTTGGGCACATTTTTGAGTAATTTCAAAGGATTAAAGGCGCTAAAAAGTCCTAATCCTTGAAGTTTTTTTTGGGTCATCCTGTATATCTCTGGCAATTCTAAATGCTCAAAAAAGGCAGACCACATTATGGAAATGGCAGGACTAGGGCTATTTTTTTATTTTCGTTTCATCAATCATATTTGTAAAATTAGATTGTAAAGCCGTCTGATTAATTGTAAATTGATTCCGGGTCTTTTTCATTAGAATTGGATTTCAATTATAACTTCTCTCCGTGAAGAGCTATTGAGAAGAACAAAAATGTTTCAAATTTCTTGGAACCGGAAAACTAATTGTGTGTAAAATTAAAACTATAGAGGAGCTACAAGATCACAAAGTCGTAGCAATAATGTCATTTTTACTTTCTCCTTCTTACAAGTTTGCAGTTATTTTCATTTAAGATACGGATACAATGTTGTTATCTACTTTTTAATTTACCTTTTTGAACACATGAGGTTAGATCATCACCAAGTTGAAATCCATCTGAGCAAACACATTCCTTTCCTCCCATAGTGTTTATACATTCTTCTTCACAACCTTAAATTTAAAATGTATATCAATATTCAGAAATTCTCAGCAAGAGGTTCTCCTTTTTTAATATATTCTAAACTATAATTCTGAAAACTGTTTTAAAAGTTTAAACTTCATCATATATATCGAAGTTCATCAAAAATCTGTACACTGTAAGCCCAAACTTTTTTAACATTAGAACTTCATCATTTCAAAGTTATTACACCTGAATATGATGTGATAAAAATGTGCACCAACACATTTCTTATAAATTTAGTTATTAAATTAGTATTTTATTGTAATTTTATTGTATTTAATACCAAAGGAATATAAATAATTACTTTTATTAAGATCGAGCGTTTTTCCTTGGGCAAAAATGAACACAAAGGAAATGAGTTTTTGTCACAAACTCTAATTTTTTAATCCAATTATATATTTGATACCTGATAGTGTAAAGCTTTGATATTTCAAACTTTGATTATTTGATCTTATATAATTCATAGTTTGAAATATCAAAGGTCAATGACATTGGGTTGCAATTAGAAAATCAGTGTGTGTGACAAGCACTCAAATCTTTTAACTGTTAAAACATACTCGACCAATGTGCTGTAAAAAACTATTTAACAATTATGTATCATTTATGTAAATCGCATTTTTGTAATACAAAAGAAAAAATCTTGCATAAATTGTCTTAAATGAATACATATTTGAATCGTAAAATAATTAGTCATATTTAACGCTTTTATACAGAGTACGCGACGTAATAATGAACATCTGAATTAAACCTTAAAAGAGACTTCAAAAGTTATTATCTGAATCTGATTCAAAAATACTATGGTCATCTGAGCTTTCTAAAATGTAGACGTCCTTCTTTTTTGTTGAAAATGAGACAAAATTTTTTAAAAATAGTTCCATAAGTTGCAGTCAAAATTAATTTAGGTTTCTCTGGAATATCTTCCTTTTTAGATTGGTTGCATATTTGCTGAATATGATCTGTTTAAACCTACAGGGTGTCCCAAAAAACATGGGAATTCATTGACGAATTGGATATCGTCTTAGTTATGAATTAGCATTGTAATACCTAATTTCAAAACCCATAATATTGTTATGTCTGCTAGAGCTTATTTTATGAAAAGGGTAAAAGACTGTAAAGATGTGTTCGTAATGTCTCCGCAAGATGAACAGTGAAGACTGACAAGTTTACTCTGTTAGTATACTGTAATTTTCTTGTTTTACTAAGTACAACCGTATGCAGTCAAAACATAAACAAACAAATGTGAACATAGCAGACAAAACTCTTACAGATTACAGCTTTCTCAGTAGGTATCACTATACTAAATTAAATAATTATTTTAAAAGACGATATCGTATTCGTCACTACTCACTTAATTCCCATGTTTATTGGGACACCCTGTACTATTACAAAATATGAATTTTCGTATAAATTTGACCCAGTTTATATCAATTTCACGAGAAAAGAACTTCAGATTAAAATTTCATGGGTCGCGATCGAGAGCTAAAGTGATTAGATTTCAGCGTATACCCCCTTTCATTTTTCCTTTACAGTCCCTTTAAAGTTACCCACCATGTCCGATTCACAACGGCTCCCTTTAATCCTTATCTGAGTAATATTGAAGAAGATATTTACAGAGGAAACACAATTAAAGATAATCAAATTTTAGTTCGAAAAATTAGTATATCATATCTCTTAGTTATCCTTGATCAGAAAATAATGGTTTTAATAATGCTACAGTGGTAGGCGATTATATCAATATAATGAAGACGACTTTCGATTTCATTTTTGATTGATATTAAGCTATTAAACAACATGTATTGGATACACATAAACAATAAACAGAGAAGTCAAGAGAATCTGTCAATTAAAAAAGTTTATATTTGATTACTTGTACACTTGCAGTTCAAAAAAAATCAATCAAAACTTAAATGAAAAAAAGTCGTTTTAATTGTATTAATATAATCGCCTACCACTTTATAAAAGAGGAGCCACTTGAAGTTACACTGTCAGTAGCTCTATGCTATTATTTACCTCCGTTTAATACAGTGCATTCGTTTATATCCTCACACACAGGGAATATACCCAGGGAGTGCTTAGTCTTGTTGAACAAGTATCCCTGAAATATAATACAGTACAAACCATAATTCTGTGGAATATATAAACGATATTTAATACAATCTTATGGACATTTGAGGTCTGTGCACAAATGCTGTGTTTTATGTTGATTGGACTATTTAGAATTATAACTTGAGTCAAACACTGTCATCTTGTTCTTTCAGACTTATGGGTCTTACGGCCGGGTAACTGTATGTAGGAATGTATTTATGAAAAACTGATGTTGATTAAAATTTTGATTTAAGAACGATTTGTTAAAGTTATTTTTCAAAAACTTGATAACATGATAAATATTAAAAATTCGGTGATGATGATGGACCAAACCTTTTGGAGTAATTTAAGTCGATGTTAGTTCCACATTTATTTAAAATATATTTTGGTCTGGGTTGATCCTTGTGAGTTCTTGAGATTATTTCCGTCATGAACATTTAAATAGCAAATAAAACTTTCAGATAACATATGTTACTCATAACATGATAACAAGTAACTGATAACATGTTTTAATAGAAATTATACCTGATAACAAGTGCAGATAACACGACCAAAGTATAACGAACACTGTTGTTCACATAAACCAAATTGTGGATCACAGGGATCTTCTGTATCAGGGATACACCTAGAAAATCCAGTATTATAGAAATTATATCTACAAAACTGGAGATTACAGGGATCTTCTGTATCTGGTATACACCCCGATAATCCAGTATTATAGAAATCATATCTACAAAACTGGGATTACAGGGATCTCCTGTATCTGGTATAACCTCGTTAATCCAGTATTAGGGATCACATGGATCTTCTGTATCTGGTATAGACCTCTAGATAATCCAGTATTATAGAACAAATAAACAAAATAGGGGAATACATGGATCTTCTGTATCTGGTATACACCTGGATAGTCCAGTATTAGGGATCCCATGGATCTTCTGTATCTGGTATACACCTGGATAGTCAAGTATTAGGTATCACACCTAAACTGGGGATTACAGGGATCTTCAGTATCTGGTATACACCTCGTTAATCCAGTATTAGGGATCCCATGGATCTTCTGTATCTGGTATACACCTGGATAGTCAAGTATTAGGTATCACACCTACAATACTGGGGATTACAGGGATCTTCTGTTTCTGGTATACACCTGGATAGTTCAGTATTAGGGATCCCATGGATCTTCTGTATCTGGTATACACCTGGACAGTTCAGTATTAGGGATACCATGGATCTTCTGTATCTGGTATACACCTGGATAGTTCAGTATTAGGTATCACATGGATCTTCACTATCTGGTATACACCTGGATAGTTCAGTATTAGGGATCACATGGATCTTCAGTATCTGGTATACACCTGGATAGTCCAGTATTAGGGATCCCATGGATCTTCAGTATCTGGTATACACCTGGATAGTCCAGTATTAGGGATCCCATGGATCTTCAGTATCTGGTATACACCTGGATAGTTCAGTATTAGGGATCCCATGGATCTCCTGTATCTGGTATACACCTGGATAGTTCAGTATTAGGGATCATATCTACAATACTGGTGATCACATGGATCCTCTGTATATGTTATACACTATAGATAAATCTGGTCAATACAAAATGATCAACTGTGAAAACTGAATATTGTGCTTAATATACTATTAGACCCATTAAACTGAATAAATTGATTTTAAATCTCCTGTTAAAACTTTGCTTATCAACATCAAATACACAAAGAAAAGATAAAATTCGTTTTCGTATTCCACAGTTTTATTCCTTTACCTGCCAACTACTAGAGTGTATCCAGGACAGCATGTATCCCTGATATCCACAGATTATACAAATAAAATCAGAGCTGGGAACTTTTGAATGGTGGATATCGGGATTAATGCTTGATCCACTCTTTTTCTTAATCTCGAGATTAAATAATGCTTGTTCTCCTCCTGATATTAATCTCCAGATTAATTAACCGATCGGGATTAAGGATATCCCATTCTAAAGTTTTCAGCTCAGTTCAAATAAAATATATATATTTGTCTCAAGCATATAGGACGAATAGGACAAGGAGCAGATAAAACACTAGATGTCGTCTTTTCAAGATTTAGGGTTTTTTGTTCACAATTATAACCCTGATGCAGAAGCCCAAAGGAGTTAGAACAGGCTTTCTCTCTCTGCCTTGTAACTCAACACGGGATGGATGCGCGTAACTCCTTCGGGCTTCTGCCTCAGGTTTATTTTGATCGAAAAACACCTAAATCTTGAAAAGACGACATCTAGTTTTCTATCTGTATTTTTAATAATTTATAGGTAAACTGTATAGTCTATGCCTGTAACAATCAACCCATTGATCAGATGATCTGCACCTAGCTCTGTCCAGACAAAATATTCAAAATATTCAAAACATTCAAAATATTTATCAGGATTCAGGTTGCAGGTTTCAGAATATTAGAGGTTGAGGGAGTAAGAATGGTTGAATATATTGTTGAATATATTTTTGAATATATTGTTGAATATATTGATGAAGATATTGTTGAATATATTGTTGAATATACTGTTGAATATATTGTTGAATATATTGTTGAATATATTGTTGAATATATTGTTGAATATATTGTTGAATATATTGTTGAATATATTGTTGAATATATTGTTGAATATATNTGTGATTATTATCTCTAGAAATTTACTTCTAAAATTAGGTTGACAAATAAACGCAGCACATTATATCAAAAATCAAGACGACATTCAAGTCGTCCTGCATACTGTCATGTTTCGTGGGACACCCTGTAGTATAAAACTCATTGAAAAATTGTCAAGACGACATTTGATAAATTCTTTCGATGTGTTCGTTAATAAGGGTTTCAGTGTATATTGTTGAATATATTGTTGAATATATTGTTGAATATATTGTTAAATATATTGTTGAATATATTGTTGATTATATTGTTAAACGGCTTAACCGAATGGGCTGAATTTTTTTGAGGGAACGGCCATGAGACTCCAGGGGTAGCATTGGCTTTAACAAATTTATTTTTTTTTAAATCGATTTTTTCCCAAAATTCCACGGGCAACGTCGGTCACTTCAGCTAGTTGTTGAATATTCCTGGATCTAATAACCCCGGTGCCCGGGCATTCTACCACATCAGTAGCGGATCCTGCCATGTAATCTCCAACAACAGAACTAAGAAAAAAAAACCTTGATAAATTCTTAACAAATCATAATTTTACTTTACATTTTAACCAATTCTAACTATCAATAATAATGTTTTAAAAGTTTCTAGTATTTCGGGCGAACATTCAATTGTTAAAATATAAAATGTAATGTTTTTAGTCCCACACTCTAAGAAATGGCTAATTTTCATTTAAAGGGAGTGGCCGGCAATATATATGGTTGTTGAACTGAGAATGAGAAGAATTTTTTTAGGATTCGTTTGAGACATATAAAACGTTTTAATAATGTATAATTACTGAGTTTGAGCGCAAAGTCGTCGTTCAAAATCATCCATTTGGTTGGTTAGGTTTTGAGAATCGTTTTTTCAAACAATTAAATAACGAAAATGTTTCAAACTTTCGTCATTAAACTAAATAATTAAGAGGTTTAGATATTTCTTAAAGTGATCGGTGATCAAGTGACGTCTAAAACTTAAACTACATTGTACATGTCTAGAGCTACAAAAACTATAAAAGAGTTAGTTAGTTAAAATCAAGGGCCTAGGCGCTAAAGACGACCTATTTGAACTTTTCACAACACCATGGATAAATGTGTGTCATGTAATGAACCGTTAATGAACTGACTGAAAAGATACTATTATAAACAAAAAAATATAATAAATTTTATAGGAACCTTCTAGAATTATCTTGATCTAAAATTACTCCGTCTAAATCCTGAGTCTTCCAACCAACTACTCCCTATTGAAAATAACATCATTAAAGATTTGGAAGATGAATTAAATGTCGTCTTTTAATTCGCACTTTCCAGAATTAAGAATTGGTTCAAGTCTGATTCAAGTATTTTAACAATGGTTTTTCTTTAAGATAAAGGCTAGACTCGCTGAACAACTTTTTGATCCATTTAAAATATTTGACATCTGGGGTTACCCATAAAGGATTATACCTAAAAGACGATTGTACAGAATTAATACTGTGTGCAGTTTATTTATATTAAAGATTCTCTCATGCAACTGTAAACTTGTTTCTCTCTTGTATCTACAATATTTTAAAAGGTTTTAAAATCATTCAGCGAAAACTGTCTATTTCTAGTCTTTGTTTGAATAGAAGAAACTTTTTTCGTGACATTTAAGCAATTCAAAACTCTTCATTTTTACTTTAAAAATAAAGAGGGGTTGAATCAATCAGCAAAATTTTTATTTCTATTTTAACGAGAATCTAAAATACACCATCCCCAAAGGACAAATACACCATTTGTCGCATAAATTATATTAAAAATTTTTCTTAAAAATTTTTTAAAGAACCTGTAAAATCATTCGTTGGGATGTTTAGAAAGATGAAAATTTCCCTGTATGATAATTGAAGGACTGCAGTATGGTTTTGGTGAATTATATTGGCGTACAAAGCCTAGGGGTGTCAGAAATAATTTTTTTTGCATATTTTTAAAAACTTCTATAAAACTTTTTAAGTTTAATTTTTGATAAAACTTTTTGTTCTGGATGATTGCAAATATCTATCTAAAACTTTCTTAAACCGGCATATTTTTNAAATATGCCGGTTTAAGAAAGTTTTAGATAGATATTTGTAATCATCCAGAACAAAAAGTTTTATCAAAATTAAACTTTTTTAGGATTATTGGACGTTTTCAAAAAAATGCGAAAAAAATCATTTCTGACACCCCTAGGCTTAGTACGTCAATATAATTCACCAAAACCATACTGCAGTCCTTCAATTATCATACAGGGAAATTTTCATCTTTCTAAACATCCCAACGAATGATTTTACAGGTTCTTTCATATTTTTGTGAAATTGAAGGGGTTTGAAATTTCGGCGAAGATATACTTTTTTTCATAGAGTACATTAACTAATTTACTACCGATAACTTTGAATTTTAGGTTTGATTGATATTAAAACTTCAACATTAAAAGAATCAACGGTTTCTTCGGGAAAACAGTTATAGGACACATAAAAGTCGTCTTCATTGTTGGAATCTGCGAAAGCGTTTTCATTCTTCTTTAAGTTTAACATTTGCTAGTTTGAATTCAAAGATTACTATTTATTCTAGTATTCTATATGGTTAATGCTCTCTCATCTGTGTACAGGGTTAGCCACAATGATGAGACCTTAGAGACGACTGTACAGAATTTATAATGTCTATTTCCTTATATTTAGGATTCTCAGCAACTTTAAACTGGTTTTTTTCGTCGCCAATAAATAGGAAATTAAAAGGCAAACGAATTAATTTAACCTTGTAATCATCCTATTTTATGAGTTTAAGGTCGTCTTTACAATCTCATCCTTTGTGGTTAACCCTGTAGATAAAGTAGTAATCTCTGTTTGTTTGTTTGTATGTCCGATCATAACAATTATGAATTTCTTAACACGATTTGCCTCAAATTTTGACTGAGAAACTCGTTAGAACCACGGGAATGTTCTCAGTGTGTTTTAAAAGCTCTGAATTTAATAAAATTTTCAGACAATGCTGGGTTTCCAATTGCTGTTACTATATCAAAGGTTATTCTTTCATAAAAGCAGATTTTATATTTTTTATTAAAAAAAATGTTAAATACACCTGGAACAGTACACAGTAGAATATTTGGATGATATGCATTTCTAAAGAATCAAAAAGAAGTTAAGCTTTAAATGTTTTCTTATTATTATTATTATTAGGAAATGTAGACAACGGAGTTCTGAATACAACTAGAGTGGGAGAATCAATTAAAAACAATTGACTCATAAGTAGTATATACAAATACAAATATATACAAATATATACATAATATATTCAAATATATACAAATATATATAAATGTGAATACTATATATACAGGGTGTCCCATGAAACATGACAGTCGGTGAATATTTTTGTATGTCTTCTTCCATAAACTGTATAAAAATATTTACTTATTTTGCAGTTTTTAAAACATCTTTTACTCAAATATATGTTACTTTGAAATCAATTTTATTATGATATGATTGCCAAGAAATATTTTTTATTATTCTTTTCGGTATCAAACAACTTATAACAAATTATGAAAGAAGACATTTTAAAATATTCACCAACGGTCATGTTTCGTGGGAATCTATGTATCATGCATAAATTTAGTTTACTACAGTGATAACCAGAAAACAATGGAATAGAAAGACGACATTACAGCATTACTTGTGTATTTGATGTTGTTATAAAGCAAAGAATTTTTCTTGACACTTTTTAAATCACTAATTTAGTAAAATGGGTCTGTTTACACTGCACAATTGATGTGTCTTGCTCTCATTGGACTTTTTAAAGTTATAATCTTGATTCTTAAGGTCGTCTTCCTATTCCAGAGTTTTCTGGTTATCACTGTAAAAAAAAAACAGCCTTCCATAACTTTAATTTGATAAGAATCTGAACCAATATATTCTGGACTATGACAGAAAATTCTCTTTATGGTTTCCCTATCCCAGATAACTCTAGAATTGGAAGACGACATTGAAGCAAAAATTAAGTGTATTTTATGTTGCTGTGAAGCAAGTAAAATTGATAGTAGATTATCAAATCACTTAAGTGAAATGGGTCTGTTTACATTGCACAATGTATGTGTCTTGTTTCCATTGGACTATTTAAAGCTAATACTTGAGTTTAAAATTTGTTTTCTTATTCCAAAGTTTTTGGTTCTCATGCTGAAGTATGTAGAAATTTAAAAATCATAAAAAATCAAATTTGATTTTAAAAAGGAAAAGCTAGTTATTTACTGTTTTAACATCTTTTGATACCCTAATAAAATGATATATAAGGAAATTACGGACAGAAGACGTAAAGATATTTATAGATAGAGAAAAGATATTCAAAACTTGAAAAGATTGTCAGTGTATATTCATGAACCCGACCTAAAATAAAAGAATATTCAAGGATTACAGACAATAGACATATATATTACCCTTTATTAGGTGTGAATCCATTTTTCAAATAAAAACCATTAAATTGGTATCACGTAACGTTGATGTAAAATAACTGAGGTTTTGTCACAAACTCAGATTTTTTAATTTCTAAATTTTTGCAATTCAACATCGTAGACCTTTGATATTTCAAATTATGGATTGTGTTAGATCCAATAATCTAGGTTTAAACTATTAAACGTTTATACCATTGGGTTGTAAAGATATAGGATTTAAAAATGTACGTTATTACTAAAAACTCAATCATTTACCTGACTTAATATATTCAGAGTTGACTTTTACTTAATAACCCATTTATAATCATTATATGTTTATTTTCATGAACATATTTTCGAGTCTTTTTTTAAGATTGAAAAACCCATTATTCCTGTTTTTTTTGGGCCGCCCTGTATTTCGATCTTCTTATTTTTGATCGATTATAGAAATCCATCCAGGACCAAGGAAGGAAGCAAGTTCAATTTACCAATATTTCGGTAATCACCCAGAGAGTACCACTGCCTCCCCCCCCCCCGTTACAAATACACAATTTATAACGTGGTTTTCAATTGATTGTTGTTTCTCAGAGAGAAAATCTCTTCATGATTTCTTTATTAGGAAAAATATTTTCAAAGGGGCCGGAACGGAACAGAAAAGGAACGATCAAAATTACTTATTGTTTTAAAATTGATTTTTTTTTTAATTAAAATAATTCACGGATTTATTATGATTTAAAATATTCAAACTAACAGACTATAAAATTCTTAATTAAATTCTAATTTTTCATACAAGCAAAATAACAATAAAATCACACAAGTAGATAAACGATAACAAAATAAAATAACAAATACAATAATAAAATATGCTAATAATAAAATATACCAATAATGAGCAAAATTTCGACATCAACTTTGAGTTTACAGAACACAAATCTTTTAAGAAATGTGAATTTTAGACAAAGTTTCTTTTTTAAATTCATGAACAGGGAGGAAAGTTGTTTACTTGTAAACTCCTTAAGTATTGAAATAAACATCAACATTCCATACAAATACGATGTATTGTACATATCTCTCAGCACAGTAAAAAAACCAATACAAATTCCTGCTTTTCATAAAAAGAAAATTTCATTTAAAATTTTGAAAAGGAGTATTGAAAAATACTAATAAAATAGTCAGTTGATCAGCAATATTTTTGTATTGAGGATTTCAACCCAGGTTCTACTCTGGAAATTTCGTAATAATTTCTTTGAAACTTAAATCAACACAAAATATAAATACTTTAAAAATAGGAAGTCTCAGAAAATAATCATCATTTAATGGTGCAATGGTAACTAGCTGACACGGGTAAAATTTGAAGAAAAACACTAGTTTTAATCAATTTAAAATAATCTGAAAAACCATTGAGCCACTTTCTGCCCAGGGGTGTCATGATTAGTCCCACCGGTTACCCGCGCTTTGTCGTAAAATACGATTTTAGCTATTTTTCCATATAAAGGTGGACCCACTTGTTTTAATATCTCAAAACAATAGAACATTCCCGTGGCTTTCCCGACTTCCCCAATCAAAATTAGAGGCAATCTGTCTAGGGGTTCCCGAGTTATGATCGGACAAACAAACAGACAAACAGAGATTACAACTTTATATATAAAGATAATTGGTTTCCATGAGTAGGTAGGACTAGTAGGGTTTCAGTGATGCTATACCAAACCTACCCAGAGGACTAGGAGACACCCTCGCAAAGCTAGGTGGGGAGGAGGTTTCAGCGTAACTATGTCGGTACATGGCCGGCCGATTACCAGGATGGTCAAACGGACGATTTGCCGGATGATTAAACGGCATATTGGCCGGATGATCGTAGGAAAATTGGCGGTTTGGCATATGTTCAAATTGTCTCTGAAGACCGCCTGAATGCTTTAACGACATTGGACCGAGTCTGGAGTTCTCCCTGTCTAGGCCTGGATATCTATGATGCTCCCCAACTTGTTTATAGGTCGTAGTCGTCCTAGAGCTCCGAGTAGGCAGTCCTAGAGGCTCAGGAGCAATCTTCCGTCCTGAGTGCTGGAAGTTTCTGGGTCCAGGATCAAGTTTATCAATATCAGAGAGTTCATGATAGGATCTTCTCCGGAAATCTTGTCCAGGTTCAATCCGTCTTATCTCAGACTCAAACACGGGCTGTCTCTTGTCCTTACGAAGATCCAGGGACGGATATCTATCTGGGCTTCGAGGGATACCTCTTCCGTCTCGTCTGTACTCTGAAGTTATAACTTTTGTTGCCAACACACCATCTCGTGCGCGTACTGGACTTAGGGCGCGTGAAGGACTTAGAGCTCTTTCCTTCCCAGTCCAGATTGGTCCCTGCCGGGGAATATATTTTCTTGAGAACCCGTCCTGGAGTCCGGCATGCTGCTGATATCCCTTCAAATCTAACTCTGTCATCTCCCGTCTTAGCATCCCTCGTCTAGGACCCTCCGGAGCAATATTCTCCTCCCTTCTGTATTCATGCTTCAGACTGGTCCGGGACGGGTTTCTCTTCACCTTGTGTCTCTGAATATCAGGTTCCTCAAACTCCTCAATTTTGTCATATCCATCCGACTCAAGGGTTTCTCGTGATAAGAACCTTGGTAGGCGTCTGTTCGTGTATTTATCTTTATTGTCTGGACTGGTTTTCTTCCCAGATTTTGTAAAGATATTTGGTCGACTTGTCGACGGTGGAGACTCGTCGAAATCTCGACTTCTTGATTTATCTCTAGAATATCTGGAAACGTATCCGGTATCTTGGTCAGATTTTGGCCACCGGGATTCGGCCTCAGTGGCGGGTGTCGCCTCCTTCTCATACCTGGACCATCTATCCTGACCGGCCAATTGTTTTCTCTCCAAACTAGTGGAAACCTTCTCCTTCTCCCGTCCTTTCCTGGTCGCAGGTATCTTGGACACCTGGAGATTCCTCTGCGGAGAAACAGATCTTTCGGCGATAACCTTATCTTTCTTCCGTTCTAGAGACAGAAACAGCTGTTTGGCTCCTTTAAACCTGTTTCTTGGACAGTCTGGAGGTTCTGGTTTAACTTTACTCGGAGAACTGCTCCGATAGAACCTGGAGGAGAGAGGTTTAGGATCTTCAGTCCAAACAGGTTCAGGAAGCAATACGTCCTTCACTCTTATTTTTTAAAATATTTTTTGAAAAACATTGCTAATTCATATATATGAGCAAAGCGCTTTATTATATAGATAATAGACAAGCTAAACAAAATCAGAAAACTGAAAAAGGCATAATTCAAACTTTGTACTTTATAAAAATGAAATTCATCAAATCCTAATTACGTCCAACCTTGAGAGGTGATTAAACCAATTACGATTAGAGTTTTCTTAAAACCAATTTGCAGGCAATATTTCACACCAGGCAACATGAGACCATCATCGATCCAGTAACTTGATGTACAACATATGGTCTGTTCGTGTACCAAGGTTGTATAATAAGGTTGGTTACTCTCGATTCGCTCCAATGTACGGAAAATGTCGTCTCCTAAGATAGATAGATAAAAAACCTCATGTGGCGTCACTCTCGCCTCTATAATCAGTGACGTCATATTAGGTTTTTATCTATCTACAGGGTGTCCCAAAAAACATGGGAATTCAGTGACGAATTCGATATCGTCTTCTTAAATAATTCTTTGATTTAGTATAGTGATACCTACTGTAACTTGTCCTTCTTCACTGTTCATCTTGTGGAGACATTATAGACACATCTTTACAGTCTTTTACCCTTTTCATTAAATAAACTCTAGCAGACATAATAATTATATGGGTTTTAAATTAGGTATTACAATGCTAATTCATATCAAAGACGATATCGAATTCGTCACTGAATTCCCATGTTTTTTGGGACACCCTGTATCTTAGGAGACGACATTTTTCGTACATTGGAGCGCATCGAGAGTAACCTTGGCGTGTACTCTGCATGGTGATTAGCGTTTCGGTTTTATAAAATAAGTTAATTATAGGTGTGTTGCTTGTTGCTTGTCGTATGAAAACTAAATTGATCTTTCCGCATTTTCTTATAATTTACCATTTTGATAACAGATGTTTCAGGTCACACATTTTTATAGAAAAATTATATTCGGAAAACCACATAAATTTAACATTTACAGTGTAATTCACAAAGATATAAGCTTAAATTACGACCAGTATCTGCTTTAAAGGGACAGTAAGCGTAATTTTAGTGACTCTCCATGAAAAAATTGCAATACCCTATTCAAGTATGGAATAGATATCCATATTCATTAAAAAATCAATTGCGGTTTCTCTACAAAGGGACTTGCGCATTTCTACTGCAGGAAAACATTTGGAAATTATCAGAATGAACACATTTAAAATCTAGAAAACTGGAAACATCTTCCACATTATTGATCAGATGAAGGTTTCAAAGGTTGAATCGTGTAGTCTTCGCCTGGAGGGTCACTTAAATACACGCTTACTGTCTCTTTAAGATAGTCTTTATATAAAATACTTAATGATTTGGCAAAGAAATAAATTAATAAATCATGAGTCTTTGTCGTATACCTTAGATATTTCAAACTACAGATATAATTTTAAAATATCAAAGGTTTAGGTCATCAGATATAGGGATTAGAAAATCAGAGTTTGTGGCGGCAAAGGCTCATTTTCTTTACTATTGCAGGGACCCAAAATGTCCGAAAAAAGACTGAATAAGTTTTGTTTCTGTAGTCTCATCCGTAGTTTACGATGTAAAACTATTATAAAGCTTTCAATTAAATACGATTCAGAAAAAAATTAAGCTAATTGAGCTCATTTGATTTTTTTATTTTTTTATTTTTTTATTATCTTATTTTTGAAGTTTTTAATTTTTTAATTTTTTTTCTTTTTTAAATGTTGCTTCTAGTTTGTAAAGTAGTATTTTTGCAGGGCAAAAAGGATTATACATTTCTGAATAATTGATTAGTTTTTATTTGCTTTAAATAATATCATAAGAATTCATTCACTTATATATCAAGGCAAATATTAAGGAGTAAAAGTTATGTTGCACTATTTCTAAAATGGTTTTACGCGTGAAAATTATTCCAAAAAGTTCAATGTCTATTTCTTAGTCCTGAAATTAAAGTTAATCAACAAATTTAAGTGTTGATTTAATTCTTACTTTAGATACAAATCTATGTTTTGTATTTAAATATATAGTTTGTTTATTGAACCCGACTAAATCTATACAGGGTGTCCCACGAAACATGACAGTCGGTAAATAATTTGGAATGTCTTCTACCCGATTCACCGACAAAGGTACCCTTTGTCGTACTTTTGACCCTTTGTCGTTTGACCCTTTGTCGTTTGACCCTTTGTCGTTTGACCCTGTGTCGTTTGACCCTTTGTCGGTGAATCTTCTTCCCTATACTGTAATAGTTATTAAAGACTTTTTGCATTTTTTTCGTTCAATAAAATCTTTCATGTTTCGACCCTGTATCATAGATAACTTTTTTTGCAATTTTCTCGCTGGGGTATTATGCAGTACATTAGATACTGGACCCTGGACTTGTCAACTTGGTAAAATTTAGCCGTCTCCTGTCACGATATTAGTTACAGTATCATATTTCTTCTTACTCCAGGGCCCACACTCCCCACATCTACACTTTGTTTTGAACCCTGGACTGCTTTTCTAACATTTTTTAAGATACAAGTTATTTTTCAAGAATAAACGATAAACAGAATGAAAATTTGTAAGAGTGAAACCATAAGACCACCATGGAAAGATTTTAAAAATTTCACAACAAATCTAGGGTCCACTTAGCTATATCAGCTGTGAAGCCCATCCAAAAATATTACATGTACGCTGGTTCAGAACAATTCAGATACAAGGTACTAATGCAAGGAAAGTTATATGTATGCAGATTATACGCGACCGCAGTTAACTTTCCGTGCACTTGTACCTTGGGTAGATAGAATCATATCTATGAGCAGGCCGTGGATCTACCTGATGACGAAAATTCCCCGTGAAAAACTGGTTCATGAACCGGACTGGACGGATCATGAACCGAACTGGACGGATCATGAACCGGACTGGAGGGATTGCAATCGGACCCAATGCCACTCGAGTCCCCTGAGCAGTTCTCTAAGCCCGTCTCTGGTGTCTGCTGGGGCTCTGCCCCCGCCCCCAAACTCCGTCTTTGCTCCCCGAAAATATTCCCCTGTGATCTATGCATAGTATCATAGTCCCGGGGAGGAAGCAGCAGAGGTTCCTTTCCGGTCAACTTCTCACGCAGCTCAGCAGCTAAACTATCATACATGCTCGCGATCCTATCCGTAGGGTTGAGCTGAGAACCCCGGTCTGATCCTGCCCCGGAGTCTGATCCACGTCCTAGGCTTCGACCATCTGAACCTAGACGAGAGCTTCCCGCACTGGAACTATTTCTCTGCAGCAGACCTTTCTCCTGTAACAAAATATTTATTCAAAATATTATTAAATTATTTTTATCAATAATTAACTACAAAAATTTTCATAATTGGTTCAGTTTCATAAATTCTATTTGGTCCAATTTTAAATCTGTTCAAGCAGGATATGAATTGAAACATCTTTTTTTTTTATTTGCGCGCCTTTAATTTCAATAATGATTAAAATTGTTGCTGATTTTTTATTCTGCTTAGCCAATTTTCATTTTTTCCACCCATAGCCGATTTTTAATGTTTTTTACCTGTAGCCGATTTTCAATTTCCTGAAACTTCTTCTGATTATCTGGTTTCTCTATGAGCCGGTTGAGCTGAGCCAGAAGCAGTGAAGCTGTCTCAGGGGAGTCACATCTAAACATTAAGTAGAAAAGTTAGAAAATCAAATTTAATTCTTTAATTATTGAAGAAATTTATTATTACTTCCCATTAATATAGCAAATACATTTTGTTTTATATGGGGATTGGTAGTATTACACTCCTACTCCTAGTATAAGATAGAATGACACTCCCACTCCTAGTATAAGATGGGATGACACTCCTACTCCTAGTATTAGATGGGATGACACTCTGTGTAAGAATGAATTGAATTAACCAGAAAATTATTTACTCCCCGGGGGTGAAATATCCTTGAACCCTGTCCTGACATAAAACGTGACATAAAACTTAACTTGGCTGAACTATAGCTTAAAGGGAAAGGTTTCAAAATCTTAAACAGTCTCAATTTAAAGGATAAATGATGGGACTCTTTAAATTTACGAATTTAAATCAGGAACACCCTTTAGTTTTTCAGGCAACGTAAATCTTTAAGCCGTAGTAAAACTAATAATCCCCCCCCCCTTAATATGTTTTTAACAAAAAACATTCTCCTAATTTTATAAAAATTTCTAATTATTCAAAAATTTACGGAATAAATTTAGCTTGAAAAAAATTTACGTTGGAATAATATAAAAAAGTGGGCTTGAAGAGCAGAAAAAGCTGTTGCTGTGTACCTTTATCTGTTTACATATACTGATCCCTACCTTTATCTGTGTACATATATAATGATCCCTACCTATATCTGTGTACATATATAATAATCCCTACCTATATCTGTGTACATATATAATGATCCCTACCTTTATTTATGTACATATACTGATCCCTACCTATTTCTGTGTACATATAATGATCACTATCTGTTTACATATAGTGCTCCAAACCTATAGCTGTGTACATATACTGATCCCTACCTATATCTGTGTACATATATAATAATCCCTATCTTTTTCTGTGTACATATATAATGATCCCTACCTATAGCTATGTACATATAATGATCCTACCTTTATCTGTGTACATATAATGATCCTACCTATATCTGTGTACATATATAATAATCCCTATCTTTATCTGTGCACATATATAATGATCCCTACCTATAGCTGTGTACATATAATGATCCTACCTTTATCTGTGTACATATATAATGATCCCTGTCTTTATCTGTGTACATAAAATGATCCCTACCTATATCTGTGTACATATATAATGATCCCTACCTATATCTGTGTACATATTTAATGATCCCTACCTAAAGCTGTGTACATATAATGATCCTACCTATAGCTGTGTACATATAATGGTCCTACCTATATCTGTGTACATATATAATGATCCCTACCTATATCTGTGTACATATAATGATCTCTACCTATATCTGTGTACATATATAATGATCCCTACCTATAGCTGTGTAATTATATAATGATCCCTACGTATAGCTGTGTACATATATCCTTACCTATAGCTGTGTACATATAATGATCCTACCTATATCTGTGTACATATATAATGATCCCTACCTATAGCTGTGTACATACATAATGATCCATTTCTTTATTTGTGTACATATATAATGATCCCTGCCTATAGCTGTGTACATATAAAATGATCCATAGCTATATCTGTGTACATATATAAAGATCCCTACCTATATCTGTGTACTAAAATGATCCCTACCTATATCTATGTACATATATAATGATCCCTACCTATTTCTGTGTACATATATAATGATCCCTACCTATATCTGTGTACACATATAATGATCCCTACCTATTTCTGTGTACATATATAATGATCCCTACCTATATATGTGTACATATATAATGATTCCTACCTATAGCTGTGTACATGAACAGGACAGGATGTAGCAGGGTTATAAATGAGCAGGATTACTGATACTATATCAGAGTTAGGTCTTTCTTCTTGCACTGCACAGGTGAGAGAACTGTTCGGGATAAAATGCTTTATATTCTCCTAAAATAATCACATTAATATTAATAATACGTATTTCATATTATCATCATGATGTTGATAATAATGTAAAAGTAATAATAATAATATGAAAAGTTAATAATGATGAGAAATAATAATACCAATATTAATCAGAAAAAGTTTGCTCACACATCCAATTTTTGTGTCCAAAAATATTGTTTATTATTTGAAAATTATATATTAAAATAATAAGATTTATTATTTAAAATTATATATTAAAATAATAAGATTTATTATTTGATAATTATATCTAACTTGTATTATTAACACACATGACAAAACATTAAAAAGATTGATAAATAAATATGTAGAGAGCTCTAGATAGATAAATACACGGTTCGAGAGATAGACAGATAGAAATGTAGATAAATAAATAGATAGATAGGTTAATAGATAGATAGATAGATAGACATCTAAAATAGATAGGTAAAAAATACTTCCTCTATGCAATTTAAATAAATCTGTTCAGTTAATAAAAGTTTGGATTATCTTAAAAAAATGGTAAATATTTACATTCAAAAACCTTTAAAGGGAGTACACCGGCAATGTATGGTAGTTGAACTGAGAATGTAGTCTATTGTGGAGAGAAATTTTTAGGATTCATTTGAGACATTTTAAACATTTTAATGATGTATAATTACTGAGTTTGAGCGCAAAGCCGACTTGCAAAATCATCCATTAGAGTGGATACCTTTTGAGAATCCATTTTTTAAAATCTTTAATAATGACGACAAAAAATGTCGTACAAATTCTACAGTTAACTTATTATTTTACTGTAGAATTAGTTTACTGTAGGAATAACGACGGCAAAAACTGTCACACAAATTCTACAGTAAACTTTATATTTTACTGTAGAATTAGTTTACTGTAGGAATAACGACGGCAAAAACTGTCACACAAAGTCTACAGTAAACTTTATATTTTACTGTAGAATTAGTTTACTGTAGGAATAACGACGGCAAAAACTGTCACACAAATTCTACAGT